GACTCGACGGCACATAACAACAACAACAACAAATAAAAATGCATCAACTGTGCATTCTGATTTTTCATCCTAATTCCTGTATTTCTTCTAAGTCCTTTTCCTGACATTTTAACCCTATTTATTAATTTATTTGTTCTTTTACTTATTTTTACTTAATTATTTTGATAATAAATGAATTTTACTGTTATTTAATAAAATAAATGGTTTATATTAGTTTAAATTTTTGATATTTGAGAGTTCTGTGGATTTTGGTAAATTATTTAATGTCATATATTTATCCTTGTGGAATAGTTTCACAGACAGAATTGTTGAACTGTCCTTAAAATACCCTGTATTTCACCTTTCTTTTGTCTTAGTGTCCTGGACTCCTAGCCATCACTGATGGCTACTGTTTCTCCAGTTTTACCTTTCCCAGAATGTTCTGCATTTAGAATCATGTAATATGCCACTTTTTCATAATGACTTTACCATTTAATGCACTTCCAAGAGTGGCTAACTCTTTTCTTTGTGAGCACCAAATCATACTCTATCAAATACCACAGCTTGTTTACTCATTCACCTATGATTTTAGTTCTTCCCAATTATTGGTTATTATTAATTGTTAGGTGCCAGTTGTTAGGTGGAATATTACCCATAGAGACCCTGTACACAACAAATCTTAACTCTTCCCTATCCTATACCTCCTCATACATTCAAATACACTAGAGCCCATTGGAGCAGTCACTGTGCCAATCCATCTGGTTGAGGTTCTTCTTTTTTTTTTACCAGCCCTCCACCTTTTGATCAAAAAGGCTCACCTTTAGGTCCCAACTCCTTTAGAGAAGAGACTCCTAGCCCCCAACCAACTTTTGATAAAAGGCCTGCCTTCGTGATCCCAACTGCTTTAAGTAAGAGGCTCCCATCCCCCAACTGACTATTGATTTGATCAAAAAGCCCTTCCAGGCCCCAGCTGCTTTTAAAAAGAGGCTCCATGCCCCAAATCAACTTTTGATTAAAAAGGCCCACCTTTTGGGTCCCAACTGCTATTGTTATTATTATTATTATTGAACTACTAGAAAAAAATTGCATACAAGTTTTGGTGTGGACATAAGTTTTCCACTCATTTGGATATCAAGCAACATAATTATTGGATATTAGGATAAGCCTAAATTTACCTTTGCACAAAATTACTAGGTAGTCTTCCAAAGTGGCTTTATCATTTTTTAAAATTATTGTTTTAATTATTTTTTTATTAAATTTTATTACTTTTAATGAACACTTAAAGAGATTTTGGGTTTCCATTCATTCATTGTTGCACTATTTTCTCTACCCTCCCCCAAAATTCGTTCTTCTTTTTTTTTCCACCTTGAAAGTCTGTTTTCATTGTCCCCTTGCCACAGTGCTTGTCAAAGCCAGTTTTGATTAATCTCCTTTGTCAGTGTGTCCTTTGCCATTCCCTATCACTTCTTCCTGAGAGAGACTTCACCCTGATTCATAAGGAAAAGGGGACAGTGTATTCTCTTACCTACTTCCTGCTGAAAAGGGATGCTGTAGGTTTCAGGGTGAAGATCTTCTCTCACTACTATAAAGGGACCCTTTGGCAATAGGAAACACGTAGACTATTATGGAAATTGATTTTGGAATTTAGATGCACTGTTATCAGTTGTGCTTAGCCGTACATGGTCATATTCTTGAAGATGTATCGTAGAACTGTTGCAGCCTAGAAGACACAAATTTAACTAACAAGTTAAAAGAACATGAGTCAAAAATTAAAAAGCAATAATATTCCAAGTAGAGGTTCTAATAGTGGCACAAATCAAGTTACAGAGGGAAGGTAGTTCTTAAGATAAAAGTACTATTGACTAACACTTTGTCTATTATAGTATAAAGGTTAGGAACCACAAGATATAGAGGCTCAACTGTGTCATTTATTGTTCGTAAGTCCTGGAGCGAATTCCATCTACCACTGGGTTGTTTTGCAGCTCAGAAGTCCGCATGCAAGGCAGAGGTGATGTAAGGAACTGCTTATGAGGTTTTCCGTCAACTCCAACAACTAAGAAATTATTTGTTGTATATTTAAATTTTTCCCTCATTTAACAACTGGGATCTAGAGGGAAGAAAAAAGATCAGAGAATGGCCAAAATTATTGGGGCAGCTATTGCTGCCAGTTTAGGGCCTGTGTCAGGAAAAGGAAGTCTTACTCATAAACAGTGCCACCCAAAGGTAATAAAGGAGGTTAGAATTGCTTCCACTGTGGAACGCTGGGCCACTTCAGTAGACAGTGTCACAGACGAGAGCCACAGATAGGAAAGGAAGTAGAGAGGAAGCTCCCACTTACTTGCTTTAAGTGTGGATCTGAAGGACATTTGGCCAAGGGTGGCCTACATCAGGTCCTCGTAGCTGACAGGACTGTCAGGCCCCAGCTCCCAGCTGGAAACAAAGGAAGACGCTTCAATGATTTAGATCCTCCCAGAAGAGCTGTGGGTGATTATTAACATTACTGGTAAGTATATTCGTTTTCTCCTGGACACAAGAGCCTACTATTTGGTCCTAAAAGTCTTCTGAGGTCCCAACTCTTCTCACTATTTCTTAGTTGTTGGAATTGACTGCTTTATCATTTTAAACTGAGCTGCTCCTTGGAGGCAAGGATTCTGAGGCTTCGTCTGACATACTTTGGTCATGTTGTAAGGAGAGACCGGTCCTTGGAGAAGGACAGCATGCATGGAAGGGTGGAGGGCAGGCACAGGAGGGGAAGACCCTCTAGGAAGTGGATTAATTTGATGACTGGGGTAATCAGGATGGGTGTGCCAGAGACAGTGAGATTGGCACAGGACAGAGCAGAGTTTACAGCTGTTGTACATAGGTTCACTATGAGTCACAAGCGACTTGACGGCACATAACAACAACAAGGCCACCAGCGGTGAATTAGGTTTCATATTGCTCTTTAACTACACCACCACTTGTGTTGTCAGTAGTAAGATTTCAGACACTCCAATATGTATGTAAGGGAGGCTTATTGTTGGACTGCTTACTGAGAGATTAGCAGTTTGAATTCACCAGTCACTTTACAAGAGAAAGATAAAACAGTATCTCTTCCTTTATGATTCCAGCCTTGGAAAACCAGTGATGGGTTAGCTGTGGCAGTGAATTTGGTATGAATGGACCTCCGGTGGTATAGTCTATCAAGAGTAGTACTGCTAATCCAAAGACCTCATGTCTCTGCTGTTTAGAATCTATTAGTAGCTCTGCAAGGGGACTCTGGTGGCTTATTGGTCAGGAACTGTGATCCCAATGCAAAGATAGGTGGTTTGAATACTCTCACTTCTCTGTGGGAGAAAGATAGGCAGTCTCCTCTCATATGATTTACTGTCTCTGAAAACCCACTGGAGGGTCAGCTATGGATCGGTAAATGGTATACAGTAACATCAGCAACTCAACAGGAGAAAGATGATCAGTCCCTTCCCACATAATTTAGAGCCTCAGAAAACCCAGTTCAATTGAATGGCAATCAGTTGAATTGAGCTGAGTTTTAATGGTATGTTTTCTTAGTTACTCAGTTTTCAGACTGAATTTTAGATGTTTATGCTTCTTTTGCTTTTAATAATCTAAAATTGAGCCCAGCAGCGTTTTTTCTGCTAAAGGCCAGATAGGAGATACTTTATAGCTTGCTAACTATATGACTTGCCACAGCTATTAAGCTCTGGACTGTAGTGCAAAAGCCAACATGGACAGTATGTAAACAGTTGGGCATGTCTGTACACCCGTAAGTGTATATTTACCAAAATAAGTGTGCAGTTGGTTTTAGCTCATGTGATATACTCATCATTGATTTAAAACATACATTATTACAATCTCAGTCAAGCAATTCTCTTAGTTGAAGTAACTGTTTGCATCACTTGGCTATCACTTATAGTTGGTTATTTTCCTATGTGTTACAGTTTTGGTTTGTGAACTCAACATGCACCTTTTTTTTTGGTGAGGACTTTTGTTCCTTGAGTTTGTATGTCAGACCTTATAGTTATACTTTATAGAAGATAGCTTTTTTAGTTCTCACAGTTAGAAATACCCTTAGTAAGAATCTTCCAATCTTTAGTTAACTGACAGGGACATGTAGGACTAGCAAGTTAGTACAGCTGTGTTATTGTTATTAGGCGCCGTTGAGTTGAGTACAACCCAAAGCAACCCTATAAACAACAGATCTGATCCCTCTCCTATGCTATCCTCATACTTCCTGACATACTAGATTCCATTAATATGGCTGTAATCTTATTAAAATGAAAACCAGCTACTTTTTCTTGTTATTGACCTTGGATTCTATCCATATAACTTTTAATTGTTACAGTTATACTTCCAAAGTTTTAAAATTCTGATTAAAAGATAATAATAAAGAACTTCTACATTGATCTGGACTGTTGTTGTTGTTTGTTGCTGTCGAGTCATAGACTACTCATAGTGACGCTATGAACCAAAGATGTGAGCACTGTTCATAGAGTTTCCGGAGACAAGCCATTTCGGAAGTGAATGCCACTCCTGCTTCCAAGCTTGTTTTAATCAGAAAGCTCCACCAAACACTGTTCGCCATGGGTAACCATAATCGCATTTGGCACACCAGTGTCACAGTGTTTAGCATCACAGCCACCACAAGTTACCTCTGTATAGCATGCACAGACCAGTGCTATACCACCTAGAAGAATGTTTGACAGAAAACAATTTAGACGAGGCCTGATGGCTGCAGATTGAAATCACCCACTTTGGGCTTGGTAGCATAACTTTCTGTCCACTAGGCTAACGTGGCTCTCTCTATGTTGTCATTGTTATTGTTGTTAAGTGCCACTATTAAATAGAAAGTGAATTATACATCATAAAAATTAAAGGGATATAGCATAATAAAGACACTTTCAAAGGCCTCATTTTGAAATACTTAAAAGGGATATAATATCACTGACTGTACTTATCTATGTGTGGGAGTTTTTCCCCCCCTGCTCTATAGGAAATTCATTCTTTTTGCTTATTTCTCATAGGACACTTGAAATGGACCAAAGCTGAGGACATTGACATAGAAACTCCTGGATCTATTCTTGTCAACACTAACTTGAGAGCATTAATAAATAAACATACATTTGCTTCCTTACCTCAGCATTTCCAACAATACCTCCTGCTTTTGCTCCCAGAAGTGGATCGGCAGGTAAGTTGAAGCTTTGAACATTTGCTATCAGGTGGTACTTTTATTTTCTCGTGTGTCAAGGTTGTTATGAAAGAGGTTGATAAATGAACGGACTGTTTTGTAACAATACAATATGTTTATGTAATTTCTTCGCATGTATATCTGCTGCTCTCATCACTTTTTTGGTTATTACGCAAAAACAGAACCATTTTTTAGTCTCAGTAGTGAGCCAATTCAAATTTTAAATAATGGTATATTGCTGTAGAGGAAAAATAAGGACCTCCCCACACTGGGAAGGGAAAACAAAGAAATCAAACATTCCATTATCAAATAAATCTTTGAAGTGGTTGTTCCTTTGCCTGGAGGGAATATTGAAGTGCAGCAATAAAAAGCCAGGGTTTCTAAGAAATTATGTAAATGTTTTTATTCTCAACTCTTTCCAAAAACCGTTTAAAATTTATGTTTGCGGTTGGCTTCAGAAAGTCTATCATCATGAATAAGATTGCCTATAAATAATCACCTTTTATCTTTTTATTTTCTGGTATAGATGGAAATGCTTTAAGTTCTAAGTGTATTTTTGTATTTTTGAAAAGCTTCCAAAATAAGGAAATACAAATATAGACCCCATAAAAGCAGGCATCAATCATCATCCAAAGCTGTTTCCTTAGAAAATAAAAGGGGGGGAAATCATCACATCACAAACTTTCATTACATGTCAACAGACATTATTAAATGGCACCTAGGAAAACTTCCTTGTAATTTTTTACTTCAATAAATTGTAACACAGTTATACTTTCCTGTTGATGAACAGAATATACTTGTGTTTATGAATTTGCATCTCAAAATGATATATGCATCCATGAATTAAAAGTAGCCAAGATTGAATCAGTATATCCAAATCACTTTCAATAAATCTTAACTTGCTTTTTCAAATAAATCTTTATTTTCTATTGTTCATATGTTGTGTTGTTGTTGTTGTTGTTGTTGTTATGTGCCGTCGAGTTGTTTGCGACTCATAGGGACCCTATGTACAACAGCCCTAAACCCTGCTCTATCCTGTGCCAATTGCATTGCCTCTGACACACCCATCCCGATTACCCCAGTTACTGAATCAGTCCACCTCATAGAGGGTCTTCCCCTCCTGCGCTGTCCCTCCACCCTCCCAAGCATGATGTCCCTCTCCAAGGACCGGTCCCTCCTTACAACATATACAAAGTATGTCAGACGAAGCCCCAGAATCTTTGCCTCCAAGGAATAGCCTGTTTAACCCTCTCCAGGATGAATCTGTTTGTTTTCTTGGCAGTCCATGGTACATTCAATACTCTTCTCCAGCACCACAGCATCGTTTTTTACACCAGATCTTTCCAATTTCTTTTACCCACCTTTCCCTCTACCCATCAAATTGTGTGACTCTATGATGACCACCCTCTGCCGTCCTTACCTCTCTACTCCCCCCCATTATAGCCTTGGATCCTCATACACATTTTACTAGTTATGTTTCTATTTCGTCAATGATGGCCTTATACAGTATTTGTCCTTATGGGTCTAAGTTGGTTAACTTAGCATAATGCTCTCAGTTCCCCCCAAGTTAGGAAGTGATTTTCAAAATCATTTTTCCTGCATGCTGCGTAGTATTCCATAGTGCGAATGTACCCTAATTTCTCAATCCGTTTGATTGTGCTTGGACATTTGAGCTGTTTCTGTGTTCTTGTAATGGTAAATAATGCTGCTGTGAGCATTGGTGTGCAAATATCCATTTGTGCCTCAGTTCTAATTTTTCTCAGGGTATATTCCAGGCAGTGGAATGAATGGCTGGGTCATATGGAATTTCTATGTTTAGCTTATTGAGGAAACACCAAACTGCCTTCCAGAGTGATTGTACCATTTTACAATTGCACCAAAAGTGTATAAGAGTTTCTTTCTCACCACATCCTCATTTAATACTTACTGTCTTGTTAAACTTTACCACTGCTATTGCAGTGAGATGATATGTCATTTTGGTTTTGATATCTTTCTCTCCTTTCTTTTTAATTTCCATCTCTCTTATTTCCAGAGATTTGGAACATTTCTTCATGTGTCTGTTGGCCCTCTGAATATCTTTCTCTGTGAAAAGTCTTTCCATGTCTTTTACCCATTTTGTAATTGTGTTATCAGTCTTTTTCTTGTGGAGGTCCTGTAAGATTCTGTAAACTTTTGATTTGAGACTCTTGTCTGGAATTACCAAATACTTTTCCCCAGACAGTATCAACTCAAGGTGGATCTTGGCTTTTAATTTGATTCTCAACTCTTCTTTTTATTTTCAATTCTTTGCCAAAAACATTTAAAGTATACTTAAACTATAGAGAATTTAGTAATTCACTCAATAAGCATTTAATAAGCACTTACTATTGTTCCAAAATACCTACATGCGAAATAGTTAAGTAAGTTTTCCACTAACTGCTCACATCTTTAGATATATGTTTGCTTCTAATATATCTCTTTGATAGGAAGGGTACTGTTATTAATATTTAGTAAAATACGTCAAGGACTCTCCTTCATAAGGTCGCTATGAGTCGCCTGTGACTCGACGGCACTTAACAACAACAACAAAATACCATTCTATTTGGGTACATTAAATTTAACTGGGAATTTTCCTTTACTCCACAAAAAATTTATTTAATATTTACTCTTAAAATGTCACGTATTAAACACTTTTGAACAACAGATTGTTGTTATTCAGTGCCAGTGAGTCGACTCTCTCTTGTGGTAACCCTGCAAACAACAGATCTGAACCTTGCCCTATCTTATACCATCATCACAATCTGAGTCATTCTCACGTGCTTATTGAATGTTACTGGATGAATCAGTAAACATTCTACTGTTTGAATACATACGTTATATTTTTTAATAACCAAAATATGAAGTGTAACTGGACAAGCTCGGTGAACGAACATGACATATATTGATCTTTCATGACCAGAAGTAAAATGTCAGGGACAATTTAATACTTTTGAATTGGACTTTGAGATAGAGGTAAAGTGTGAAGTAAAATGATGGGAAAGTGCCATGTAAAAGGTCTAAAGAATTAAAAAAAACACACAAAACACAACAACACAAAACACCACAGGGGAAAAAAGCCCCCAAACAAACAAAAAACCCCCAAAACCCAAGACAAAGAAACCTCTAAATTTGTCTAAGAAAGTCAGGCTACTGGGAAGAACATTTTACGTGACTCTGGAAAAACAGATTGGAACCAGATTTTGGATGACTCCTTGAGAATGAGGCTAACATGAAAGTGTCTCTCTCTGTAATAAAAAAGCCATCTAGGACTTCAGAGCAGAACAAAATGCTAGAAGAGCATTGCTTTTTAAAAAAAGATTATTCTGGCAGTCCTGAATGCTGATGCTAGCGATGAGAAGCTTGAAAGTAGAAGAAATAGAAAGCAATTTAGTTGTTCCAAAAGACATAATGAGAGCTTGGATTTGGGGATGAGCATTGAAATCCGAGATGAGGAGGATAATGCAATCATCATCATCGTCATCATTATGCAATGGTAGCAGTTTTACATTTTGTCACACAACATTTAAAACAAGGTAGAAGGAGAAGCCACTGATGACTCTCACATTTTAAACTTGTGTGACTTGAGAATATTATTCAGTCATTGAAAATAACCTCAAAAATCTGATTTATTTGCTTTTGCACGTTTCCTCCCCTTTAAAATGTGTGCTTTATCTCTTTACAACCCTTTACCTGACTCTTGGAATAAGGTTTGACATGTTCAGTGAATCATTTTTTTTAATGAAAAAAGGAAACATTATCATAGGCTTAGCCAAATACTTCAGGAGCAGCTAGTCTAAATGCTATATATGATTCACCCTATAGGAGTTTTTGTTACTCAGTTCTTTCTAGTCACAGTGAACTGTGAAAATGAATAAGGCTCATTACTTGTCATCATATAATGCTGAGTCTCTTGGGAAATTATTTAGTTGTGAAATATTTACTGAGCCTCTAATGTTTGCTATATACTTTACTATATATTAAAGACGTAAGGATGAATTTTGTGGGGGAATGAAATAGAAGAAGAAGGGAAAGACTGCCTCATACCAGAATATAATACATAATAGATAATTCTCAGTGCAATGAAAGAAGTTTAGTAACCTGAGCTGTATCTGTCAAATCTTGTGTACGACCAGGGAGAATCTCATCAATGTCCAGGAGGAGTCCTTCAAAGGCATAGAAAATGAAGAAATTTAATTTGAAAGTAGTAATAGAGTCTTTGTGGTGGAAAGTATATTTAAGTTGGACCTTGAAGGACTAGTTTTAAGTAGAACTAAAGGAAAATCCATTCTATAGAGTGAGTGTATATCATTCACAAAGATGTATTGTTCATTGGGATACAGAATATCTAGTAGTTCCATAGGACTGAAACATCTAAAATGAGGTAATTGGTAGAATCCTTAAAAGGAATATGGTTTCCTGACTTGATAACCTGGTTATAATCTCAGCTTTTAGAACATTTTCTGCTTTCAAGGAGTACCATCAATTCTTTTTCAAATAAAGATAGCACACACACAATGACTGAACATGTATTTTAACACCTAGATATAGAGGAGAGGAGAAAGCCCCAAAGGATAAACAAAATAAGTTTCTTATTTTCTGTAGTAGCCCTGAGAATAATGGATTGGAGAGGCAGAGAGATAAGACACAGGGAGACTGGTTAAGACACAATTACAGTAGTTGAGATATTTGATAAGGGTCTGACCTTGGGCTCTGACCTTGGAAATGAAAAGAAAGGAATGAATTCCAGACATATTTTCAACCCAAAATGAGTAGGCATAAATGGCAGATTCCCTGTGAGATGGGGTTGTTAGAGTTCTAGAAGGTGACTAGAGATTTTATCTGGGGTGGCTTCTGAGAGCAGAGGGCCTCGGTGGGCCTGTCAGCACAAGATAACAAGAAATTTGGAACTCTCTCTTAAGATGGGCTCAAAATTCTTACCTCGCCGAATGAATAATAAACAAGTTAGTTGACTTAGCAACCCA